CCCCCCCCCCCCACACACATCTCTACAATTGAAAAAAAAAAGCCCTGCGTGGTGGCGTGTGCCTGTAGTTCCAGCTGCTTGGAAGGTTGAGGCCGCAGTGACCATGAGCATGCCACTGCACTCCAGCCTGGGTGACAGAGTGAGACTCTGACTCAAAAGAAAGATTCAGAAGATGAGCCCTGAATGCTTGGCAAAGATTGAAGACTGTTTACCTCAGTAGCCCAATTTCATAGGCGTAACACCGGGTAGAAGTGATAGCTTTAGTATTGGTTTGGGGGTTTTTTTTGTTTGTTTGTTTTTTGAGTTGGGTTTCACTCTGTCACCCAAGCTGGAGTGCAGCAGCATGATCACAGTTCATTACAGCCTCAACCTTCTGGGCGCAGGTGATCCTCAGCCTCCCAGGTCACTGGGACTACAGGTGCGTGCACCATGCCCACCTAGTTTTTTCTTCAGTTTTGATAGAGATGAGGTCTTGCCTAGGTTGGTCTCAAACTTCTGGACTCAAGCAATCCTCTCACCTTGGCCTTCTAGAGTGCTGGGATTATTGCCGTGAGCCACCATAACTGGCTGATTATTTTTTTTCTGATTTTGTTTTTTAAGTGAGTTTTTAACCAGCGTAGGGTTCAGGCACTTAAGGAATTGCTAAAGTAATTGACCTAGGCTATTCTTCAAATGAAGGTATAAAAGTGCTCTCTACAAAATGTCTTTACGACATTTTTAATGAATGAATGAAAATCACACCTCTTGTTACTAAGAAAGTTACATTTCAAGCCAGTGTACAGAGGAATCTGTAGAAGTGAAACTAGGATCAGAAGCAGGTGGACTTTGACCCTCAGGGGTCGAGCTGGTCCCTATACGAGGCTGTCAAGGGCACCCTGGCAAGGAGTTGTGTACACAAATACTCCATGTATGACAGCATTGCTGATGTCCTCTTGTCATGTGTGACGGAGGAAACCTGACTGATTGGGCAACAGTGCACAAAGGGCAAGGCTATAAACAAAAGATCACAAAGAAGGAGAGAGTGGACACAAGCTATTCCAAAAGCACAGAGTGTTCGATTTTTCTGACATTAGCCCAAAGAGGTACATGGGCCAGCACTGATTCCAGAACTCAGGCTTCTTGACACCCCATTCACACAGGCTGCTAGAACGTCACACATGAAAATTAAGTTACGAGGCTGGGCGTGGTGGCTCACACTTACAATCCCAGCACTTTGGGAGGCCAAGGTGAGGATTGCCTGAGCCCACGGGTTGGAGAATAGCCTAGGTAAGTTGGCGAGACCTCATCTCTACAATAAATCAAGAAAAATTAGTCAGGCATGGTGCTACTTGGAAGGCTGAGGCGGAAGGATCACCTGAGCCCAGCAGGTAGGTTGAGGCTGTGGAGGCCATGAGTGTGCCACCGCACTCCAGCCTGGGTGACAGAGTGAGACTCCAACTCAAAAAAAAAAAAAAAAAAAGGAAAATGAAGTTATGGGCAACAAAATTCAACTTTTTTCCACATTTGTGTAGCTTCCCTTAATCTCTGTCCCCAGAAATCTATAAACCTAGCCTTTATTCTCTTACCTTCTTGAAATTATGATTTATGGCCAAAAAAACAAAAATCACCAGGTTATTCCCTGTTTTTGGAGGAAGTAAAAACAGCAAAAAAGATTATGTAAATTGAAATACTGGCCGGGCTTGGTGGCTCAGCTTGAAACCCCAGCACTTTGGGAGGCCAAGGCTAGTGGATTGCCTGAGCCCATGGGTTCGAGACCAGTCTGGGCACCTTGGCGAGACCTTGTCTCCACAATAAATAAAACAATTTAACTGAAATACCATTTTGTATAGTTCCGATCGCAAATGCAAGTCAAGACATAATGATAGGCATTGGTCAAAACGCATCACATGGCCCACTTAAGTACCATGTTTAAAAAAAAAGATGGCCAGGCTTGGTGGCTCAGACTGTAATCCCAGCGCTTTGGAAGGCTGAGGTGGATTGCCTGAGCCTGTGGCTTCGAGACCCACCCAGGCAAGTAGGTGAGACCTCATTTCTACAATAAATAAAAAATTAGCCGGGCGTGGTAGCGTGCTCCTGTAGTTCTGGCTACTTGGAAGGCTGAGGTGGAAGGATCGCCTGAGCCCAGCAGGTTGAGGCTGCGGTGACTGGGAGCATGCCATTGCTCTCCAGTCTGGGTGACAGAATGAGACTCCAACACTTAAAAAAAAAAAAAAAAAAAAGAGCCTGGCACAGTGGCTTACACTTGCAAACCCAGCACTTTGGGAGGCCAAGGCAGAATTACTTGAGCCCAGGAGTTTTAGGCCAACCTGGGCAACATAACGAAACTTCGTCGCTACAAAAATTCAAAAACTTAGCTGGGCATGGTGGTGCATGCCTATAGTCCCAGCTACGTGGGAGGCTGGAAATGGAAGCATTGCCTGAGCCCAGGAGGTCAAGGCTACAGTGAGCCATGATTGTGCCACTGTACTCTAGACTAGGCAACAGAGTGAGAATTTTACTAAAAAAAAGAGAGAATTTATTTCCCTTTTCTGTCCTTGTTCAGTATTCTAATGTGATAAAAATCTGGCGATTAAACAAGATGGTAGATTCAGTGGGTGTCCTAAGATGCTTGAGCCATTCTAAAGAAAAAGGGTTCTCAAAATACCTTAGGAGAAAATGCTAACAGTCGTTACTTCCAGGTGTCATGAGCCTCAGTGTATGTTACATTATTATACATGCCAGGCATGGTAGCTCAAGCCTGTAGTGCCAGCACTTTGGGAGGCCAAGGTGAGAGGATTGCCTGAGCCCTAATGGGTTCGAGACCACTCTGAGCAACTTGGGGAGACCTCATCCCTACAATAAATCAAAAAATTTGCTGGGCACGGTGGCGCATGCCTGTAATTCCAGCTACTTGGAAGGCTAAGCGGAAAGATCACCTGAGCCCAGCAGGTCAAGGCTGTGGTGGCCAGAAGCATGCCAGTGCCCTCCAGCCTGGGCAACAGAGTGAGACTCCGCCTCAAAAAAAAAAAAAATTGTTTTACAAACCAATCAACCTTGAGATCAGAGGTTCCCAGTCTTTCTGTGAGGTGAAATTGATCTTGGTTCCCTAAATCCTGAAGATACAGATGATTGAGAGGGTGGCGTCCTATCAGTGAACTGTCCAGGGGAATTGTGGGAAACTTCAGAGAAAAGGCCATGGAGGCACTGACCATCTTGGAATTCTCCCTACAAGAACCTCAAACTCAACTGACATAGCCAAACTTATGGTGGAGTGTCTTTGCTTTAGCAGTATCAAGCAATTCCCTTCAACACCACTTCAGAGTAATTTTCCTGAAAAAATTTTCCTTATGACTAGTTTCATTCAGATTCTTGGGATTTGCCAAGTAGCCATCAATGTGACCTTAAGTTGGTCAGTTTAACT